AAGTTGGATGCAAAACAGAGTAGAAGGTGCCTCCATGAAGGAGGAAGTTCCCTGGAGAGTCATTGCAAAATGCAGCAATCCGTCAACTATTCCTTGCAAATTATAGCAAATTGCTGCTCTCCCATCTGAGTTGGAAATTTGCACACAGTCCTTGCCCAGAGCTGAGCTCACCAAAACCAAAAAATGTAACCCCTGGTGCCATCTGCATTGCAGAAATAATCCAGTTTGGCACCACTTTAAAGTGTCATGGCGCCATCCTGTGGAATCCAGGGATCTGTAGTTTGCTGTGGTACCAGAGCTCTCTAGGAGAGAAGGCTAAATGTCTCACAAAATTACAGTTCCCAGAATGCCATAGCATTGAGCCATGACAGTTAAAGTGGTGCCAAACTGGAATATTTCTGCAGTGCAGATGCAGCCCCTGTCTTCCATCTGGAGATGACCCGTGATGACTGGAGACACAGGACCAGGTCCTGAGATCTAGAAACCCCATTACTTAATTTTCAGATATTGCCTGGAAGGGAGCGATGTTATTGTTGGAATTGCCAAAGAAGTTGCATTGTTCGAGGGTGATCCAAAATGGAATGGCATCCAGTGGGAATCATTTTTCTCTAGCACTTGTCATTCTCTCCTCATCCAAATGCTCTCAAACCACAGTGTACCCAGAGCTTGCTGGACAACTGAAATCACTCATTAGAACCTGGTCTCCTGATAATGTGAAAACAACCACCAGCAGCGGCAACAGCAACAGCAACAAAACTATAAAAGAAAGGAAAATGGACAACCCCCCCCCCCACACACACATACGTATGCAAGGCAGATCAAGGTGAAATAATTTTCAAAGCCAGCCAAGGAGGCAGAAAATTCCTCAAGCACCTCTTCCTATGTTTAGCCCTACTATATAATGTAATATAATATATATTCCACGTGAATTTTGCACAGAAGAAGTCCCAAACTGTAAAGATTCTTTTCAGTTCAGGATTCTTCTCATCAGGGTTTCTTAAGACTTGAAACACAGGTTCTCTGACATTTCCCCCTCCCCCATATTTTCAAATATTATTTCCATCTCTAGATCCTAAGACTGTTCATTTCAGTGTGCCATTACAGTCTTTAGAACTAACTTTCCAAGCTCTGTTTCTGGACCTTGTTCAGCATGCCAGGGGAGCTGAAATAATGAATCTGCCAAGCGACAACAACTTCAAAAGTGCTTCTCATTCTCTTTCCCCAGATATTTTCTTCTTCTTCCTAATGGAAAATAACAATGCATGTGCATCTCTGCCCACCTGATGTACATTTGCAACAACATATGAGGTTGTTCTAAACAAGCAATTTCAAAATGATTGCTAATATGAAAAGATGGCGGTGGTTGTATGCTGATATTTCACTTTTGTTCTCTTTAGGCTCCAAGGAGCAGGCAATCAGGGTAGATAGGAAAGAATAAAGGATAACTAACCCTTGGATATTATAATATTTGGTTGTGTATGAGTCAGAGCACATCTGGCAATGTGGACTCAGTAAATTAATTTGGACATGCACCGATGGACAGTAATCAACCACTGTGTCAGCCAATAAACAGCAGTGTAATGAAATACCAAAGCTTGCATTAGCCTTAATCACACCAAAGTTCCATCAGTTTCTGAAATGAGCACTGCTGCAACACAGAACAAAAAGTGCAACCAAGTGTAAGCGAAAAGAGCAATGGGTTTCCTTGCCCCATGCAAAAAGATCAGGGTTGTATGTTAGAGTTAGCAACCTCTGCATACCAGTTCTCACTAATGACTGCTTTTCATTAGGATGATTTCCAGTTTCCTTGTTTTACCACACTCACTTCATCGCTGAATCACGTCAACCTGTAGCCATTTCCCCCTTCTCTCTCTGTCTCTCCTCCATAAGTCTACTTGTATCACTATGCCTAATTAATATATAAGTTATATTTTACTTTACCTTACTCTATATATATCCATCCATCAATCATTTTATAATATATATTATATAATAAATATAAAATTATATATATATATATATATATATATATATAATTTTATATATGTACATATATATATATATATATATAGAGAGAGAGAGAGAGAGAGAGAGAGAGAGAGAGAGAATATATATAATACACTTACATAAAATAATATTTAAAGCAAAGTAATATATAGGAAAAGTAACTCATATATTGTTGTGTGCCATCAGGTTGTTTCTGACTTATGGCGACCCTAAGGCAAACCTATCAGTAACATATAGGTAAAGCAACTTATATATTGTTACTGTGTGCATCAAGTTGTTTCTGACTTATCATGACCCTAAGGCAAACCTATTGTGGGATTTTCTTGGCAAGATTGGTTCAGAGGAGGTCTGCCATTGCCTTCCCCTGAGGCTGAGAGAATGTGACCTGCACAAGGTCACACGGTGGGTTTTATGGCCAAGCTGAGAATCGAACAGTGGTTTACAGAGTTGTAGTCCAAGACTCAAACCACTACACCACATATTATTTTACTTATATAGTAAAAATGCCATCACATTTCCCATTTCTCTGTATGGTTGTGAGAGCTAGACAGTGTAGAAAGCTAATACAAAAAATTACTAAACTGAGGTTGTTGTATTTTGGACATATCATGAGAAGAAAGGACTCTCTAGCCACAGCCATGAGTCTGCAGGAGCTGAGCAGGGAAGTTGAGGATAGGGTACCTTGGAGGGCTTTCATGCATACAGGACATACTTTCTCAGCCTCAGAGGATGGCAATGGCAAACCCTCTCTAAAGAAACCTGCCAAGAAAACCCTGTGATGGGTTCACCTTATCATTGTCATAAATTGGGAATGACTTGTAGGCACGCAATAACAACAACAACCAAACAAATAAGACTATCCTTATTTTAGTCTCTGCTAGACACTATGTAGGTTGGTGTGGGACTGGTTATTGTTCAGATTCAAAGTGGCTTTACTTTGGGTTACTCATCTCTCTGTTTTCCTTTGGGAAAGGTTGAAAAGATAGACTGAGGAGTGCTAGGAACTCCTATTTGGCCAACCCCCAAGGGATTAGGCCAGCGGAAAAGCTATGACAGTCTGCAAACAAACAAGTAAAAAAGGATAATTGACACTCTAAAACAAAGGCAAATGTCCCCATTAGTATTTAGAAGATAATGAAATCTCGCTGAGCACCATGAAAAAGATTTGGTCTTCGACTTATTGATCCATAATCACCAGTCTGTTCTGTTAAGAGCATCTTTGGATTCAGAACTGCCTTAGAAAACATTTTGTGATTGTAAAGCACAACTTTACTGGATTGTAAAAATACATTTTAAAAATCTTGGGATGGCGTGAGTTAATAGTTGCTCCGATTTTTTTTTTATTTACTTTGGTTAAAAGGCTCATATTTCTACTATCGACACTGAAAAAATGTTTCTGTATCACAGAGAAACAAGATCCACATCAATCAAGTTAAGCGTTGATGTAGGAAAATGAGGGTTTCACTCCAAGGTATTTCAAAATAATGAATGCACATGCCAGCTCTTGAAAGTTGAAAGAAAAAGCAATAATATTTCATTTCCAATGGGGTTTTGTTTTTGGGTTTTTTCCAGAACGAAACTTCATGACAGATTGCGGACAAATTTTCAAATATATATTTTGCTATATTTATCAATCAAAGACCTGAAATAGAAAGACAAAAATAGAAAGTAACTACTAACGTGGAAGAATTTAAAGGGCAAAGAACGGGTTCAATCTGAATGCCAAGAGTGGACTCCACCTGCTGTGCACCTCCAAGATTATTGGGCAAATTGGAGCAAAATTCAGACTCACAAGGTAGTCTGAAAGCTGCCTTCAACAAATTCTTCAGTCTAACAATTGTCACTTGGAGTTGCTCAGAAAGGAATGACTTCTGCCACACAAAAGGAAAATGGGGCTGTAATTGTCTCTGGAAATGATAGGGTATGATTATGCCTCATCACTTGCAGGAACATTGCATGAGCAAAAAGAGGTCCCTTGCTGTTGCTATGTGCCTTCAATTCATTTCTGACTTATGGCAACCCTAAGCCATACCTATCACAGGGTTTTCTTGGAAAAAATCGTTCAGGGGAGGGTTGCCATTGCTTTCCTCTGTGACTGAAAGAGATCATCCAGTGGGTTTCCATGGATGAGTGGGGATCCAAACCCTTGTCTCCCAGAGTCCTACTCCAACATTGGTCCAAAACACACTGCAGAAATAATCTAGTTTGAGACTGCTTTAACTGCCCTGGCTCAATGCTAGGGAAATCTGGCAATTGTAGTTTTGTAAGACATTTAGCTTTCTCTGTCAGAGAGCTCTGGGGCCACAATAAACTACAATTCCCAGGATTCGCTAGCACTGAGCCAGGGCAGTTAAAGCAGTCTCAAACTGGATTGTTTCTGCAGTGTGTTTTGGACCATTCAGACCACTACACCATGCTGAATCTCATAGGGTCTGCCATCATATTTTCTGTACAGCATAGGGTTATAAAGAATACTTGCAAATTTTCTCACCCTTGACAAGAATAGGTGTCCGAACACATGGGGACATCCTTTAAAATATGTTATAACTTATGTAAGACTTTTTGCACTTGGGAACTTTTTGCAACTTGTGTACAAAAATTGCTGGCTTTTGTACAATTTGTCCCCCCACCCCCACCCCACAGTGAAAAATGTAATATACATAAAACTGCATTTCACAAAAAACATTTTCTGAGCAAATTAATTTTTTGCAAAAAAAAAAAAAAAAGGAAAAAAAGGAAAAAAGGGGGGAAAAGAGTACCAAAATGCATAAGATTGTTGGAAAAGGTACAGATCTTTTCTCTTCTATTCCAGTGGGGAGAAAACATTTGAAATTGGTTGTGCCTGCATGTGAGAATAAAATAAGCAAAGATTTATATTCCTAGTACAATATGCCTAAAAGTATCCAGAGATACTGTAATGGTAAAAAGAAAAAAAGATGGCCATTCTCATAAACTATGGTAAGCCATTACCATTACAATATTAAATTGCTAGAGCTAACATGGTGTAGTGGTTTGAATGTTGGACAATTACTCTGGAGACCAGGGTTTGATTCCCAGTTTGGTCATGAAGCCCTTGGGTGAGTCACATGCTCTCAGCCTTAGGGAAAGGCCATAGCAAACTCTTCTGAACAAATCTTGCCAAGAAAACCCATGATAGGTTCTTCTTAGGGTCTCCATAAATTGGAAACTATAAAGGCACACAACAACAGCAATCTATTTGCCATTAAAATATCCCTGGAATGTCTACAGTTCCATCTATGAACTCTTCATATTTCCACTTACAAATCTCAGACATGATTTACAAATCTTGAACAGGTGTCTTAATGCTGTTCTAGGATAGGTGAGAGTTAAGAAGAGAAAACTTGGGAAAATCTTGAGGAAATGGAGAGGCAAATGGAGAGAAGTCCATTTCTCTTTCTGTCTTCACATGAGGCTAAAGCACTTTCTTCTCTTTCTGTCATAAAAGTGTGGGGAAGGGTCATAAAAGTGTAGTTAAATTGTCCCTTTTGACAAGCTGGAAAAACCTGCTTGGCAAAAAGGATGTTTTTACCACTCTCTCCCACACTTTTATGACTGAAAGAGCATGAAAGTGATTCAACGTCATGCGAAGACAGAAAGATCAAACTTCTCTCCGTTTGCTTGCCGGGTTTGTTTTTAAAGCGATAAGGCTCAGGAATGACTTGAAAGTACAGAACAACTATGAATTCAGAGCAAAAGAAACAATTTGGAGATGTATCACACACATATATATGTGACAGTCTGAGAAATACAGCAGCAAATGCCACAACCTGCCATTATATTTTCCCCATTTGGAAGAGATCTAAGGAAAGAGAGAAAGAGAGAGAGAAGGGGGTGTGGAATTTTTCTATCCTTCTGTCAATATATGTCAATGAAACATAAGCGAATGAAAGCAACTGTGTTATTCATTATGGCCTATACACTTTTAGAATAACATAAATAGTTATGCTGGATCTCTCACTTGCAAAATGAGCTAATTGCGTTCTGAGTATCAAGGCCTTCCGCTCATCCATTATACAATGACTGAATCATTCCTCACCCACCAAATCAAAAGTAAGAAAGGGCTGTATGTGTGTTTGTGGAATGACTGTCTGAAATATGGATCATGCTCACCCGACCTCTAAGAAAACTGAGCCAATTGCATCTCTATTTTTGCACTAACCAAGTGACCCTAAAGTATTCTGATCTAAGGCATTAATGGTGCATGATGAAGACAGGGCAGCCGAAGATGGATCCCTGTGATGATGCAAAGCAGTAATTGTGTCTTGGCTTGTAGCACATTGCAAAATTTTGCTAGGCCTGTCAGTGTGTTAACCACTTTGCTATTTAGTAAAGCCAGCATTTAGTTGATCACAAAGTTTGATGGAGACCATAACCCAGCATTGCCCCACGTAAAGCTGATTGTTAAGTCAGAGTTTGCAAAGACAGAAGCAAATGAGATATCATTATCTTTAGCCTTTAGTTGGAGGGAGCTACAAGGTCAAAATCATCTGGAAAGTGCAGTGCTTTGATAAGAGCTGCCAATTGCTCTTTTGGCTCATGAATACACACAGAGAAAAAGAGAAGGAAAGATTATGTTGGCATGAGCAGAATCTCAACTTTTCCTCCCAATGGCATTTCATCACTTCAGTACATAACATGAGGAATCAGTAAGTATTAGCATAGAACAAGAAAGAAGGTCAGTACATTGTTGATTCAAGAAGGAGAAGAGTTATAGACTCTCCTTCTCCCTGGTAGGGATGTAAATCCCTCAGGATGGATGCAAGGATGAATAATTATGGTAGTTTTCTTCCTGCTGCAGAAAAAAAAGAAAAGGGGGGGGGGGAAATATTCATCCATATTATTTTCCCTGTATTTGAATGTCTTGAAATGTTGTGGAAGAATTATTCTGTAGAAAAAAGAACATTTTGTGTGTGTGCAAAACCCCTGTTTTCTACACAGGACAAAGGGGGATTTGTACAAAGACACAAGAAAACATGCACATGCCTTTTTTCACAACTCTTCTGGATGTTTAAATACTAGGAGAAAATTGTCCAGAATTCACATTGGTTTACCCCCCGTGGATGAAATTCTATGGAGGACCATTAAATCTCAAGATCTCCCCATTACCTTTACCTTGTCTGTGGCAGGTAGAGGTACAGTCAGACACAGGAGGACCACTTCAATGGGACCTAACCATGGATTCTTTGGTAAACAACAAAATTTGCTACCAAGTCAATGAAAGGATGTTTGTCTATTGACAAACTAAATCTGTCAAAGGGGAAACTCCTCTTGCCAAGAAAATCCCATGATAGGATCACCTCTTAGGATCACCATAAGTCAGAAATGACTTGAAGGCACATAACAAAAAATCTGCCTAAAAAGGTACTCAAGGTGACTAACAATGATAAAATTCAAATACAAATGACATACAAATCATATATAGAAACAAGTTGGAAACAATTAAAAACAGACTGGGGAAAAAAAAGGAATTATGCCCCATTTCGATTAGAAACCTGTACGATAACAAAGTGTGTTCTCATGTGCTCTGCTCTCAAGTGACAGAGACAGATATAAGCTCAGAATCCCATGTATAGGCATGAAAAGAGGCATTTATGGGATGATCTGATGGGTTCTCAATAACCTCCATGGCTCTTCCTTACAACAGACCAGCAATGAAATCAAGTCAAATGATGATGATGATGATGATGATGACTACGATGATATTTATTTATATCCTGTTTTTTCTCCAAAGTTGGAACTCAAAGTGGCTTACAGTGTAAAATAATCTATTTAAAAACATACAAAAATGAACATAGGTCCAAAACACATTGCAGAAATAATCCAGTCTGAGACAGCTTTAACTGCTAAGTGCTACGCATCCTGGAAATTGTAGTTTATTATGGCACCAGAGCTCTCTGACAGAGAGGGCTAGAGTTTCCAGAATTTCCTATCATTGAGCCAGGGCAGTTAAAGGGGTCTCAAACAGGATTATTTCTGAAATACGTTTTGAACCATAGTCAACACTTTAACCTACAGTTCTGTTACCTAGCACTAAGTCAAGGAATCTGTGCCTCTCTGGAAGCTGTTGGACTGTAACTCCCATCTTTCCCAATGACTGGTCATGCTGGATAAGTCTGCTGGGAGCTATAGTTCCATACCTTTTATACAGGAGCCCATTCACACTACACAATCATACTGCTATTATTCCATTTTAGCCATCAAGGTTCTATCCTATGGAATCCTGGGATTAGCAGTCCAAGGATCTACTTAGAATCCTTTGCCAAATTACTCCACTAAACAACAAACTTTGGGATTCCATAGGATGGAACCATGGCAGTTAAAGTGGAATAATCGCGCATCATTGTGTAATGTGAATGGGCCCCAGGTCACACGTTCTCCACATCATGTCTACCGGAGGGTTTCAGCCACCTTCCATAGGGACTGGTTGCCTGGGCTTGGTCCTTGTCTGGTTTCTCTTCATTGTAGATTGCAATTGTTATAGTTAATGAAGTTGTGACCCTTTGCCCAAGAATACTCACATCTTCCTTCAGGAAGGGGGTAGAAGGTAGAAGCAAACTGTGAAAGAACGAACGGAGGAAAATTCTCTCATCCCTATTAAGACGAGGATTTTGACTCTCTTTCCAGAAAGGTTAGGGGAAAGGAAAGAAACCACAGAGGCCATTCAAAGGAATCAAAGTCAGTTTTAAGAGCTGTTTTCCGCTCAATTGGCTCATCTTGTTCCTCAAATATCTGCTTTTAACTTTCTACAAGAGGCAATCACGGTAAGAAATACATTTTCTGACATGTTATCCTTCCTCTTTTGTAGGTCAGGAAAAAAACTTCAGTGAGATGTTCTTTTTGCTTTGATACCTTCCTCTTTCTGTCTTGACCACACTCACACACACACAGCTCTGCACCTCTATTGGAAAACTAAAGAAATGTGGGAAGATAACTTTAACAGGCAAGACCTTTACAATGCAACCAAAGATATATTTTTAGAAGAAATATAATGTGTTTCTGATGTACCTCTATAGTGCGGTGGAGTAGCTAAAAGAACCTCGAGTCACCAAATTGGATCATTTTCAAGGACTGCTCTCTCTTTATCTATTTCTGTATCAATAAAAGCCAAATATCCTGAGACAGTAGTGCAGCCTTTTCAGTCAAATATTGGTCTCTTACATGCTATTGGTGCATTAGATCCAGACTCTCTCATGTCCCCCAGCTCCATTAAGTGCGAAGGAAGTCCCAAGACCAGCTATATGGGATCAGATTTCTTTTTGAAGAGAAATCATCTATTCTCCATTAAATTTGTATTAATGTCATTGCGGAAAATGCAGATCAAGGTAACAAAAATCAACAAGACTAATAAAATAGAATTAATGACAAAACACCACTAAAATATGAGGTCAAATATGGCAGGTAAAACATCAGTCAGATCACTCAAAACAACCTGTTAAAACCAATTACAGCAATCAGCTTATGGGCCACAGGAAGCCTAAATCAAAATGGATTTGCCTTGATTTGCAATGTGTTCGAGAACGGAAGCCCCTTAGATGCTACTTCAGTTATCTTTTTTTTTAATTATACAGAATGAGATGGCATCCAATATGCCTGCATTCCCAATACAAGTGTCACTCCTAAATCGGTAAAGGTAAAGGTAAAGGTAAAGGTAAAGGTAAAGGTAAAGTTATTCCCCATTGATAAGGTTGTCAAGTCGTCTCTGACCACAGGGGGTGGTGTTCATCTCATTACTAAGCCAAAGAGCCAGCATTGTCAGAGACTATTCTGTGATAGTGTGGCCAACATGATTGCACAGAACGCTGTTACCTTCCCACCAAAGTGGTACCTATTTATCTACATGCATTTGCATGCTTTTGAACTGCTAGGCTGGCAGAAGCTGGGACTAGTAATGGGAGCTCAATCCATCACACAACACCTAAACAGTAGCCATCCTAATTCCAAAGCAACTGCACACCCTTTATAACTCCTAGTTTTGTTTCCTCACACATGAAAGCTAAGATCCTGCATCATGTGCATGGAATGTAACACGCCATGGCCACAATCC